CTTGACCTTGCTACCACACTTTGTTTCTTGCTTTTCCAAGTCACCAGATTTCCTCCCACAAATGTGCAATACCCACTAGTGGACTTTCTGTCATCCACAGCTCCTGCCCAATCAGCATCTGTAAAGGCTTTCACCTTTAGGTGATTGTGTTTACTGAATAGTAGGCCTGTTCCAGGATATTTCTTCAAGTATCTAACAACTCTCTCTGYTGCCTCCATGTGTGGTTTCTTAGGAGAGTGCATGAACTGGCTTAGGACCCCAACGGAATAGGCAATGTCTGGACGGGTCATGGACAAATAAATCAGCTTCCCCACTAACCTATGGAACTGTTTCACATCTTTCAGAGGTTCACCAACACAATCACCTAACTTGTGGTCCGCATCCATAGGAGTATCTGCAAGCCTTGCACCTAATTTGCCTGTATCCTGTAATAGATCAAGGGTGTATTTCCTTTGAAAGACAAAGATACCCTTTTCTGAGCGAGCAACTTCAATCCCAAGGAAATACTTCAGGGGGCCTAGATCTTTCACTTCAAATTTAGATGTAAGGAATTGTTTCATGTTCTGTATCTCTGAGCTCCAACTTCCTGTAATGATGATATCATCCACATATACTATCAATACAACAACCTATTCCTGACATCTCTTCACAAAGAGTGTATGATCAGACCGACATTGTTTGAAGCCCATCTGTTGAACTGCCATGTGAAACTTACTGAACCAGGCTCTGGGAGACAGTTTTAAGCCATAAAGAGACTTTCGCAGCTTGCACACCTTATTTTCACTCCCCTTGGCACAGAATCCAGGGAGTTGAACCATGTATACTTCCTCCTCTAAGTCACCATTCAGAAAAGCATTCTTTATGTCTAGTTGATGCAATTCCCAATCAAGATTAGCAGCTAAGGACAGGAGAACCCTAATTGAGTTCATCTTAGCCACTGGGGCAAAAGTCTCATCATAGTACACCCCGTATACTTGTGTGTACCCTTTGTCTACTAATCTTGCTTTGTATCTTTCAACTGTTCCATCTGCCTTGTGCTTAACCATGAACACCCATTTACATCCCACAGGGTCTTTCCCCTTTGGAAGATCCACCAATTCCCAAGTCTGATTTTTGTGAAGAGCATTAATCTCCTCCTTCATGGCATCTGTCCATTTAGGGCGTTTTAAGGCTTCTGCAACATTTCTGGGAACAGGGATGCAATCATTTGCAGATAGGAAGGCACAGTATGAGGGGGAAATGTGATCATAGGAGACAAAATGGGCAATRGGGTGTTTGGTAGTGCATGACCTAACTCCCTTTCGTTGGGCAATAGGAATGTCAAGGTCATCCACAGTAGGAGCAAGATTAGGGGGTGGACTTACCTCCTGGGAGTCTAATGGTGTCGGTTGCTCCGTGTTTGGCTGCTCCATATCTATATCACACCACTGATCTCTACGACGTGTACATTGGAAGACACGAAAGGGAGTAAGGTCCGGAATAGAAGGAAGAGATACCTGAACCTGCTTCTCCTCTTCCACACTACTACTCTCCCCCTGAGGAGAAGAAGGGAAGAATGGCTCAAACTCAAAGAATGGCACATCCATAGACACAAAAAACTTACGACTAATTGGATCAAAGCACTGATACCCTTTTTGAGATGAGGGATACCCCAGACAGACACAAGGAATGGACCGAGGGTCTAACTTACCTCGGGATGGAGACAAGTCATGGGCAAAGGCACGACGACCAAAGACTCTCATGGGGATGGAAAATAAAGGAGACTGGGGGTACAATAAATGATGAGGGGCCATGTAGTTCAGCACCTTGGAGGGCATGCGATTGATGATGTAAGCAACTGCAAGTATAGCATCAATAGTCGATCAAGACTACAATCAGTCTTGAATCCCAACTGATTTCGGATTGAGAAAAATAGAAGAGGAAGAAGAAAGGAGAAGAAGGGAGAAGAAGCAGTAGTGCACAAGGGTTTTGAAAGGAGGGACAGATTGAATGAGTCTACCGCCGCCACTCTCTTAATATTTATAGATTATGTTCACTAAATGTAGGAAATGACAGAAATGCCCTTAATACTTACATGGAAAATAATACAAATAAAAGACCAAAATAAATAACAAACTGAAATAACAAGTTGTCTAAGATAACTACCAACTAACACTGACATGACTAACAAAGGTTACACATGTCATACGAACACAGTGGGGACCACAGCCATGGGGCCCACATCAGTGTTCTCTACACTCCCCCTCAAGTTGGGAATAGATATTTGTCATTCCCAACTTGAATAGGTCTGCCTCTAACTTCTTCCTTGGTACAGCCTTGGTGAGAAGATCTGCGAGTTGCATCTTTATCTCTCAATATGCTTAGTTCTGTCATGCTGCACCGGATTGTGAGCTATATTAATAGCCACCTGATTATCACAATACAACATCAAGAGCTTCTCATAATCAATACCCAACTCTTCAAGTAGTGATTTCAGCCATAGGATTTCAGCCACTCCGTTAGCCATTGACCTGTATTCAGCTTCGGCACTAGAGCGGGAAACAACGCTTTGTTTCTTACTCCAAGAGACAAGGTTACCTCCCACAAGGGCACAATATCCAGAGGTAGACCTCCTATCATCAGCACTCCCAGCCAAAACAGCATCTGTATAGACCTCCACCTTCATGTGATTATTGTTCTTGAACAGTATACCTCTACCTGGGCATCTCTTCAAGTATGCTAATATTCTCTCTGCTGCAAGAAGATGAGTAGTTCTAGGGGAATGCATGTACTGGCTGACAACACTGACTGCATAACTAATATCTGGTCGAGTGAGGCAGAGATAATAGGAGCTTTCCAACCAACCGTTGGAACATAACTTTGTCTTCAAGAGGCTCCCCACCCTCTGCATTGATCTTGTGATTCTGTTCAATGGGTGTATCAGCAGGCTTGACACCTAACTTTCTAGTTTCCGCCAACAGATCTAGAACACATTTCCCCTAAGAGATAAAGATCTCCTGTTTAGATCTAGCAACCTCAATACCCAAAAAATATCACAGTGCACCAAGGTCTTTCACCTCAAACTCTTGATGAAGGAGCTGTTTGAGGGACTCAATCTCACTACTATTATTCCCTGTCACTACAATATCATCCACATATATAGCAAGTAGGGTCAAAGAAGAGTCCACCCTTTTAATGAACAGTGTATGATCTGACTGGGCCWRTACATAACCRAATTTTCCAAKGGCTAGTTTGAATCTATCAAACCAAGCTCTAGGGGACTGCTTTAATCCATACAATGCCTTATTCAGTCGGCAAACCTTCTTACCTGTCTCTGTATCATAGAATCCAAGGGGCAACTGCATGTAGACCTCTTCCTGTAAGTCTCCATTCAGAAAAGCATTTTTTAACGTCCATCTGGAACAAGGGCCAAGAACAACATGCTGCAAGGGCTAATAGAAC